CAGTACAGCTCTCGATACTGGAATATACTGTACTGGCAGCACGGCTCTCGGTACTGTACTGTACTGGACGTTTTAGTACGCAGTTAAATACTGGAATAAAAATACTGTACTGTACTAAACCTGCCCGTGAACATGGAATAAAATACTGTACTGTACTAAACCTGCCCGTGAACATGTTTTAACATGCCATTTTTTCCCGAAATGCGCTCAAGCTTATGTGAGGCATGTTTTGTAACCAACATCGACACCCGTAAACACTCCAGTTTTGTCTTCCTGGGAAAGCTTACTCCGTGGGTTTGCTTTTGGTGTGCAGAGACACCCTTCCAATATCGAGGACGCGCCAGGCCATTTTCCCTCGTGAGATGAACCTTGGCGGGGATGATCAAGTGCTGCGGAAGTACGGCTTGTCGAAGGCCGCTGTGTATGCAGTGGGCTTGACCTACAGCATGGTCTGCTCCGTGTCCGAATAACAATTGGCACTTCATCACGGGGCGGAAAATATTCCGTTACTCAAGCATTCGAAACGGGAATTCGTGGCTAACTTGTGGCTGCCTTGTTCCGCTGATGGCCTCCCCTTGGCACTCAAAGGGATGTGTCCAACAACAACCTCACCACGCTGCCGGAGGGGATCTTCGGGGATCTTACGGCCCTGACAATTCTGTAAGTAGCTGGGATACTTTTCCGCATGCGCTCAGCCCGTGCTAGACGAAAGAAATCAAACATTTCGCCGGTTGGCAGATCTGCAGTCGGTGCATGCGTTAACTCCTTTCTTTGGAAGAAAGATTGCGGGGGTCGAACGAGTAGTCGGGAGATGCTGCTGGAGAGTACCGTTGCGCTAAGGGCGCAACCGCTGTCGAATCTGCGAGAGTTTGCCTCTTTCAATCAGCTCGCTTGCTCTAACCTGGCATCAACATTTACGGTAAGCAGCGCATCCGGAGAAAGGGTAGCTGATGCAGTTCGGAAGCCCTTCGGTTCTGAGATGATTGATCGTCGGCTCCGTTGATCGAGAATGGACCTATTACGAATTCTCGTACAGGTACTGAACGGTCTACAGTACTCACATCTTTTACGGCATTCTGTAGCTTTCGTGTGTCTATATTCCGTTCGTAATTGGGAGCTTCAACGTGCTGCGATCATTTGCGTAGGTAATTCATTCGTGGTCCACATGATACTTCGCCGGGGCACTACATCGACTATATGTTGATCCTCGTCGTTTCAGCTTACGGCGTACGTGCACACTATGCACTAAGGCTTGCCTGCTCTCGGCATGAGATCACAGCCATACTAGTGTAATGTCCTTATCTGCTTCAACCTGCCGGTTCTCTGGTAGATCCTTTCCTGCTAACGAGAACATGTGCAAAGCGAGGAGTTGTGGTTGTATTTCGCGCTTGTCTGCAGCGGGCAATAATACTAGTTTCCCGACATGGCACACTTTTGGGGTGCCCCTCTTTACAGTATATCTCCTATATCTCAAGCCCGTCCGGTTTTACTGAAAGTTATCCCTTTCACTCGCGAGATTATCATGCTAACCTTGTTGTTCCTTCCCCAACGTATGATCCGTTGCATCTGCCGCTCTCGTCCGGTCATGCGCCGGTATATCTCGTTGTGGACCTGAATTTTAGGCACCTGGAGGGGAATTCTCTGGAGTGCTTGCCCTCAAATGAACTGTGAGCAACGGTTTGTAATACATATGAAGAGAAGAATATGGACCCTATCGCGTAATGGCGGATCCGGCCAGCATCACGTAGATACCGAGCACACCTGTTATTCGCTGCTTGTTGCATTGATATCCCGGTCGGCCCGGTGGTCCAGTTAGTACCCTCTAAACCTTCTGGAGGTCAGGTCAAGGCTTCAGATCCCGGCGTAATCGATCTTTTCTTGTAAAGTGAGTTTTTCTCTTGCTTGCGCTCCTGCCCTGGTGGATAGCGCTACTGTAGTTCGTCGTGTGTACACAGAGGGAAGAATGCTGAACTCTCCTTATTCGGTTCGACTGTCTGTATCGCGAGACCTGTGTGACCTCTTTTGCGCACTCCGCAGGGTGGAAGTTGATGATGATGCCTCGGAGAAAGCAGCCGGGCTCCACGTTGATGCATACGGTAACGAATGTGGTGAGTGGTAGCATGTTGCTTTTGCTGCATTACAGTCGGCCCCACGAAGGTACCGGGTCGACCAGGAGCCGTTTGCGTGGGATTTTGTTTTTCGCTCCGTTTCCCGATCGAGGCATTCCACAGCGAATTTTCGTAGTGAGCGGCACAGAGGTTCAGCGAAACATCGCTCGGCGTCGCCCGTTGGTCCGACAGCTACAGCGTGTTGGTGAAATTGAGAGCGAAGCACCTAATTGAGAGCGAGAATTCGCGATGCGCTGCAGCTAGACTTCTGCTGAGAGGTGGAGCCTGCTGTGTAGCTTGAATTGAAGGACCAGCCCAGAGCTACGAGCAGATACCCTGGTCATCCTGTAGAAGTCTCTCGATGTGGAGTTCCAGCGGCGAGCAGAAGCTACAGCAGAGCGCACCGCCCGAGGCCAAACCGCCCAGCAACAGATTGAGGCAGGAATAGCTAATCTGGGGAAATCTAGCAACTCGTCTAGCTCCTAGCTACAGCATCCGATGACGATTGATGTGAACGGAATGCATGGTATAGCATGGGTCTGCACATTGTTCAGTTGCGGCCATCGCTTGAAGCCACGACGATATGATCGAAAGGAGCTGCAGTGTTTATTGAGCTCAAACCTGGCTGTTCCGTACTACCTGACGGCTCTTACTCGGTGAAACTGCATCTCCAAACCTCTTCGCGAGACTGATCTTGAAGGTAACTACCATCGGGCGAGGGATGGATGTAGGCATGCTCGATTTTGAGAAAGATGTGTTGCCATCGTCCTCCCTAAGCGGCACTAGGGCTTGTACCTTGATGTGCAATATTCGCGATGCGCCCCCAAACACTGATGTTCTTTGAACGTTTTCCAGGGTGCTCTATTGAGGGCGTAATCGACAACGTGTGCGGCCAAGAAATGTGCACTCCCGGAGATGAAGGGTACACGTGTGGTGAGAGAACACTGGCCCGAAAGGCAACTCTGTAGTAAATTATCGTTCAAGTTCATCCTCTTCATCGAGGGGCTTGGGCAGCAACGAACTGATACTGTCCAACACTGATGGTCTGGAGTCATCACAACAAGTGTTTCCCAATGTCTAGGAACTAGATTCGACCTTGATTGTCCAGGTTGCGCCAAGACGCCGTCTGCTACGAATCAAGAAGTTATTTCAACGGACTAATTATTCTTCCAACTGGTTGAGTGCACGAAACCGTACTACCAAGGAATGTTGGTCCGTCATTCTTCCCCTGTTGGCTTGACTTTCCACTCCTCCGGCTGGGGTTATGTAAGGTGAAGCATGAGTAACTGGCGAAGCTCTCGATTGTCTAAACGTCCAAACCCAAATTCGTCTTCGAATACCCACCATCCTGGCGCTCGCTGCAGCGGCCATACTTTCGGCTACGCCCGCACCTTCACTGGGCACGTTCGCGCCGGAATCTGCACCAGGGCCGAGCTCAGAAGGTACGAAACTTGATGCCGCGTTTCCGGTGCAACTAGCGCATACTGTACTGTCAACAACAGGCACTAGGCGGTCGGATATTGACATGTTCCCGGCCTTGCTCCAAACATGCCCAGTTCACGACCGTCCGGAGTGATGTACTTCCGCACCAAGCACCGGCCGCCCTTGTCAAGGCTACGGTATCCCATCCGCATTGTGACGGAGCTAGTAGTCATCACCGCTAGTGATTGAAAGGTCTCAGCTTCCCCTCGTTCTGTTTCCCAACCTCTGGTGCTTGTGTGGTGCTTACATGCTGTATGGGTCATTGCCGTATGCTTTTCCGTCGTCACGTTTTCATATTTGAAAAAATCGCCTTAATTTCGTGGTTGATACCGAGTCGGTCGATTTCGGCTCATTCTACTATTCTCCCCGACGTTGCATTGCAGAGGATAAGTATTCTTCCAACTGGTTGACTGCACGAAACCGTACCACCAAGGAATGGTGGTCCGTCATTCTTCCCCTGTTGGCTTGACTTTCCACTCCTCCGGCTGGCGTTATGTAGGGTGAAGCATGAGTAACTGGCGAGGCTCTCGATTGTTCCAACCCAATTACGTTTTTCAACACCCGCCAATATGGTATCTCGCGGCAGCGACTGCACCTGCACTGGACACGGCCGCGCCGGGATCCACCACACAACCCACTCAGCCGCCCGTCTCGAGCTCAGAAGGTAAGGGACGTGATGCCGAATTTCCCGTTGAACTAATGCATGCTGTATGGGTCATCGCCGTGTGTTTTTCTATCGCTCCGTTTTCAAATTTGAAATAATACCGAGTCGATCGATTTCGGCCATTTCTCCAAATCTCTCCGACATTGGGTTGTGGAAGAGTATGCATCACAACGCAGACGAGGTTGGATTTGCCGACATGAGCCCGTCTTGAAGCCCCCATGGACAAAAGTGTGTCTGGTCTCTCGCTCGCATATATATGTTGGCCTTTTTCTTTGCGGTGCAGTGTTGACTTTAATAAAGCAACCCCCGTCGGTTCCATCGTCGAACTATATTTTTCCGTAGGATTAGACGTTCGCTTGTTCAATGTGTCATGTGTGTACCTAAATACCTCTCCTCATCTTCCGGCTTACCTCAAGGCAGGGTAAACCCATGGCCTCAAGGGCTTCCGGCCAATGTTTGAGAGCGAGAGAGGGTCCACCTTCACGGTGGATAGTTGTTGTCCTCATGCCCAGAATTCCTCGAGGTTCGCCGATGAATGGACCCTCTCCCGTTGCCATCGACTCCTTCCGAAGTGCTGGGAAATTAATTGAGAAAATGGGCAGGTGCACACACACGTGTTGTACGTGCAGTCTTGCGTGATGCGACGTGAGGATCGCACAGACTAGCCCTGAAATTCTTCGGTTGATAAGTCGAAATGTCGCTGTCCTGCTACCAGTCGTTGCCTAACAGAGTCCCGCCTCCATCAACGCTCATCGCTGCTATTCCGCTGCTGGTCTGGACAAAGAGGGCGCATCGATGGTGGGCGTTGTAGTCGGCGCTGTGGCCGGCGCGCTGGCGTTAGTAGCACTTGGGTTCTTCCTAGGTCGCCGACGAACCTTAAAGAGCACCGACCCCGACCCGCCGGCCCCTCCTAGCAACGGTGGGGACAGCCTGGAGCACGGCCGGGGTGAACCGCA